TCCCATTCACTCGTTTCTCTCTTGTTTGTTTTAAGTTCTGTGCAATAAAATTAAAAGTGGTCTCAGAGAAAGTGACTCCTGGGAAAAGTAAATTCTCCATTCCGAGTGAAAATGGATAGACACAGTGGGAAATATAATATAGTAGTATATGGCTAAGTAAGGTGAGAGAGAGGGGAGTTTCTGTGGACCACGAGATCTGTAAACTAGTATCATGAGTACATACAACGCATATGATGGGGTTGAGTGTGGAGAAAAATTTCATGGAGGTTTCTTTCACTTGAAGCTATTCAAAAAGTAAGTTGCTGCATATTCTGAATTGGAATATGGATTTAACTTTGTTCCGCCAACTTCCACCTTACCTTGTGCATGGAATCAGAATTTTTTTTAAAGGATTTTTCAATAAGGTAAATGGCTCGTTTGTTCCTTTTAAAACATGTGGTCCTCTGGAAATGTCGTCCTAATAAGCTCCAGGAGTTGTCATTGTTGGATATAGTAAAATTGCACACCGTTTGTAAATAGAAACGCTATACTATTTCTGTGCAATCTACTTTACCTGTGATGGTTACTTGGAAGCAGAAACAGATAATTTTCCTAAGGAATGAGGAAAATGCCGTGTTGACTCAAATAAAATAAGCTTTAATTTAACATGAAATTTGCCACAATATGATCATAGTGGGAACGCGCTCAGCAAATCGCTAATCATGAAGACCAATCATTTATTATTGGTCATTCGCAGTTTCTCTGTATCTTCCTCTCTTCGACGCGCCCACCCACATCCACATCCACATCCACATCATCATCATGTTATTTTCTTATTGGGTGATAATAAAAAGTTTCAGAGGCCTCTTCTGTTTGTTAACATTGCACAATCCACAATAGCGACTTGACAAAAACAATTTTAAAGCGGACCAAAGGAGTAGAAATTTAAATGAATTAAAAAAAAAAAAATTGGGACACATACACGTGGTTGATGCGGATTCAGCATTTGATTAAACAGCCCCAAGACTTTGATTAGACTTGGGGGTTCCAAGTGTTAATTTTGTGTTCCATATACGTACATATAACTAAGCGAACGTTAAAGCATCAATTTTGTGTTCTTCAATAATTTAAAAACAACTAGATTTTGGATATTTACCGATAAATGAGATACCAAGCCTCTATCAGATACGGATGGACGGGGTTGAAGATTTTAATGAATTAAACTAAAAAAAATAAAGGGGTTAAAATATGGAAAAAAAAAAGTGCTACAATTTATATGAATTAAATTTGCAATTTATCATTTCTCACTTTTATTATTTACTTTTTGCCACGGATCTGGTTTTTTTTATTACGGACCCGACGCCACATTTTTCCTGCATTTCCCAACCGCATAACTGAGAAAATGCTAATATATATATATATATATATATATATTTTTTTTATATAATAGGACGCATACCATGGGCACCGTAGAACTAGAGTGACGATTGCACGTGATATACCAGTTACCGCAGTTAAGAACAACAGTAACCGTGATTTCCAACACGTGAAGATTTAAGTTGAAACCCAATTTAGAGAGGGCTCTGTTTGAAGGCTTTATTGGCCCAGGCTAAAATGATGGCCCATTAGCCTAGAATATATATGGGTTCATTGGCCCACAAATGGAAAGTGTTGACCGACGCGTTCAGCAACGACTTCGAAGTGGGAATACCTTGGTAGTCTCCTTCCTGTAATTTATGAAGCACACAGATGACTTCAGCACAAACAACGCTTATAAAGCGCACGTGGTGTGTTATTGTTTGCTTACACTCTCACGTTGTAATTGTAAATGTTGACCAGTTAATCGGACACCGATTCCCTAATTTATTAATGAGCTAAAATTTGAATTTTTGTCAAGAGTGCGTTTGGTATGAGAGATTTAGAAGAAAAAAAGGAGGAGAAAAGATTTTAATCATTTTTCTTTGTTTGGCAACACAAATTTTAGGAGTGAAGAAAAAAATTTCCTCCTCAATCTTCCGCCCAAAATTAGGAAGATTTGGAGGGAAAACACAATATTTTGTCATATTATGACTATTATGTCCATATTTATTTTAAATACCCCTATACTATTTTATATCTTTTTTCTCTTGTCTTTAGACGCTGCTATCTCCTTTACATTACCAAATAGTTCATTCAAATATGGGATACAACATAAGTTGTGGCTGAATATTACTTCAGCCTTATTTTCAATAATACTTCACACTCTAGAATATATTAGAATTTTGGTATAAGTATTGCTCAATATTAAATGTTATTTACAATTCTATTTTATTAAACATTTTATAAAATTTGGAAAAAAATAATCTTAAATAAAATAAGGACAAAATTGTTCATGTTAAAATATTTCTCTCTCCCCCTCCTTATGAACCAGATAAAGTAATATTAAAACTCCTCCTTTTCCCTCTCTTTTTATAAATCCAAACAAAGTCATATTAAAATCTTTTCACTCTCCTTCCCTCCCCTTCTCTCTATTAAAATTCCTCCTCTCTCCTTCCTCTCGTTGAGCCAAACAAACAGACCCTCAAATATTTACATTTAGTATTCAAAATTGCTTCGAATATGATTACTTTTAATTAAAAATACTTATTTATTATAAATAATTAGTTTAACTAATTTTTTAATTTGTTTAAATTAGTCAACTAGTTTTTATATTTAGTACCGGATGTAATACCTGTGACTGTGCTTGTTAAAAGAAATTATCAACGGATCTCACATGGCGCTTCATACTGTGATGAGTTGATCGCTTGAGGGTGTTGGCGCGATGAATCCCACTAACATGCCTAGGTGGACCTGTCTGCGTACAGCTTCTACATGCTCCTACTGTTCTCAGTGCTTCGTCACTCTATCTCACTTCAACCATTTGTTTTAACCACACTAGTTTGCTCTTTATTCGCTCCCTCCCGTTTCCAGCCATAACCATGCTTAACAAATACTTCTCTAATATTTAATATAAGACTCATTTAATTAATTAATTAGATTAAAAAATTTAGATAAGTTAGTTAAATAAAAAACATGACATGGTTTTTCTAAAACATCATAATCATTTTTTTAAATATCATTCTTCTTTCTTTTACTTGATTAGGCTTGCGGGAGTATCAATAAGGATAATTTTAAAAAAACTAATAAATATGATAAATATGTCTTATATTTAGAACTAAAATTAACTCAACTATTAAATTATATATTAAGGACTGGAGGAGTGTTAAAATTACATTGTGCAAATAGTTTTTAAAAAAATTAAAAAAAAAACAAAAGCTCGCGAAATTCCGTGGGATGCAGAAGATGGTTGCGATTAAGCCCATGTCATTTCACCGTTGGCAGGCCCAGCCCATGAGAGCCCGGCTGGCAGTTGCAAGTCTTAAACGCCACGAAAACCCATTATCACCTAACATTTCCAAGCCTGTGCCAGCTTTTTATTTTTTATTTTGATGAGTCAGCTTTTATTATTCTACAAGGTAATCAATGTTTGAATTACAATTGAGAGTGATATTTATATTTAGTGGCTGACGGTTTTTCAAACAGCCACCAATAATAGAACAAATGTGCTCAGTACGAAAAATATATTATATCCGGTTTTTAATATAAGAATTAGTTTGATTTTTAATTTGATCTTAAATATAAGATCTCAATCTGTTTTCTCTCTTATATTTATTCATTTTTTCTAAAATAATTCTTGTAGTAATGCTTATATTAAAGGTTCTACCAATAGTGGTTCTAGGTAAACACATGATTAGTAAAAATATTTTAGAAAAATAACACATATTAATTACAAATAACTAATTTAACAAATTTCTTTAATTTACTCAAATTAGTTAACTAACTCTTATATAAAGACCGAAAGTAGTATAAATTAATTTTGGGGTTATATTCAGATTAGGTTATTAATCTGTACAATTAAAAAAAAAATCAGACGAGTTGCTTGTAAAAAAATGTGCTGACTTGTACTCTACAGTGAATGTGAAATGATTATAATATATATTTGCGCGACACGAGGGGCTTTTTTCCCAGCATCGTGAAGTGTTTGTTAAGCACTTCAAAGAGATGTCTTCCTTCAACTCCTGAATATATGCTATACGAGAAATCGATGGCGTATTATAACTAATCTGCTCGAACCTCATTTCAATGATTTAAGTGTTTTATTTTATTACATAACACACGCGCGAACAAGTTTGAGACGAATTAAAAGGGTGACCAAAAAATCATGCCCCGAATTATATTCTCCATAACGAGCTTATGATTCCATTTTTTGTTAAAAACCCAATAAAAGATGGAAGGAAGGAGGGGGGGGGGAACCAACCAAGAACTGAGAAGGATCGCAATGATTGCACCTCAAAATTGGATTAAAGGGGGTTATGGCCTAATTGTTCAGAAAGCATGATTGGAAAGGGCGGGTAAGCGGGAAGGCCAGGCCACGTGGGATTGGCGCCGAACCGAAGCGGTTGACGCTGCAGCTCATGACAAAATTATACTATTATTATATTAAAATAATAGTTTAAAATTTGCGATTTTTTTAAGAATTTTATTTTCATTTCGGAAGTGAATCCTTCCCTCCACATCTATATCCGAACCAAATTCCCTCCTTCCTTTCTTTGTATCGTTCTTTGGTTCTTCCCTTCCGTTCCCTCGTTTTCTTCTCTCTTTCTCTCTCCCGCTTTTTTATTTTTCTGCTTCCCAGCGCCCCAGATCTCTCCTCCTCTGCCCTTTGCCGTCCAATTTCGCTGAACCTGACTCCCAATCGCTCTCTGACATACGTACAATTCATACCCCCAAACCCTCTCGATCCTGTGTCTCCACTCCCCGCGAAAACCCTCCCCACCCAACTCGATCTCTGCTCACTTTTCGTCTCTTCCTGCTGGATGTCTTCCTCCTCTCGTCCCCCGGACCAGATCATTCACTCCATGAAACGACAACTCCCATTCTCGTCTATGAAGCCTTCCTTTGTTGCTCCCGCAGATTATCATCGCTTCGCGCCCCGACAAACGCCGACCTGCTGACCAAGAAGCCGAAACCATCGTCGTCAAGTCACCTGTGAGTATACTGTTCCTTTTGTTTTTCTGTGTTGCTCTTCGCTTTCCGTTTTTAGTTTATTTTCACGTTTCTTTGCTTTTGTAGAGATCTGCTCGGTCACGACTTTAATCAGTTGTCAAGTTTAAAATTTATTGAAATTTGACCCAAGATTAGTTCTTGAGGTAACACTGGACTGCAGTATAACTTTGTTTCGCTAAGGGATGAAAAAACCCTTCTCAGTAATCCTTTTTTTTTTTTTAATCTTTGCATTTGATTTACAGGTCTTGTGAAATGAAAGAATTTCGCGCTACTCCTTCATGTCTGTGTTCGTTAGTAGTGGCGCCCTGAAATTTTGGGTATACTTGCGTGTTTGAACTGTTTGTCGTTAGTGAGAGCAAAAGCTTGTCTAATGAGCATCTGGAGCGATAGATAGCGTTTATCGGTTATTTCAATAAGCCTCCATTATAAGAACTTCCTTGTCTTATGCTCGAGAAATGAAATTTTTTGAGCATTATCCTTGTTACTTGATCAGCAGCTGAGATCATGACGTGTTTTCATTATATAGGTTATCTCCACATAGAATACGTTTAGTTGCAAATAAACTATTCAATACATGATATGTCTTGAAGATTTTTCATGTCTAAGTAGTCTTTAGTGGAGTCATTTTATCCAACACGATAAGTGCCTTTAATTTTGTCACATGCATGCATCCTGGGAATTAGACAATCACCTGGGAATCCATCCATGTGTTCCCGTTCCAACATCGACTGAAAACTGAGTAGCCTAGCATTGACTTCAATTATATGTAACTCTTCACAGTTCTCAATTCCTCCGTACATCCATTTAGTTCTTTAAGTTTCCCTTTTATAGTACAACTCTAACTAATTTAATTCCTGGAATATATATGTATATATTATTAATCTCTGTATCAGCAATTGAAGCGAAAGATTATACAGTACATCAGCCAATTCTGAAGCTGATTCCGTTGATAGGATGAACCGAGGATCTAATGAAGCAGCTAATAGCCCTTTTCAGACTCCGATGTCAGGAAAAATGGGGAAGGCAAGCAAAGCATCAAAGCTTCCAAAATGCAGCAAAGCTGGACCTCAAACCCCAGGATCAAATGTTGGTGAGTATAATTCTCTAAACCATATGAGGTGGGTTGGGGGGTGGGGGAGTTACAAACATCAAGTAAGATACTTGTTCATTACTTTGCTTGCAAACAGTTTAGATGCATCTGATGACTTTTTATGAATTTGCAGGTTCTCCTTCTGGCAACAATCTTACTCCAGCTGGTCCATGTCGTTATGACAGCTCTTTAGGTAGCATAGCATTGCCCATGCCATTGTTAGTTCTTGCCAATTACCATCTGAGTTCTTATTATGACACATTTGATCCTCATCCTTTTTTAATAATCACAGGTCTGTTGACAAAAAAGTTCATCAACTTGATCAAGCAAGCCGAGGATGGTATTCTTGATTTGAATAAAGCTGCTGATACATTAGAGGTATCTACTTTTCTGCCTGGTCCAAAGATTCCATGATGTAAATTGAATTAACCGAAGTTTTTCTTTGGGTATATACAGGTGCAAAAGAGGAGAATATATGATATAACAAACGTTCTTGAAGGGATTGGTCTTATAGAAAAGAAGCTCAAAAACAGAATTCAATGGAAGTAGGGAGGCTTTAATATTTTTCAATAAAGTTTGACATTAATATACTTAAGCTGTCAAACTATTTTGTATGCTCAAAGTTTCATGACTTTTCAGGGGATTGGATGTGTCAAGGCCAGGGGAGGCTGATGATAGTTTTTCTAGTTTGCAGGTGAGGAGTTGCATTATATGCTGCTTGGAATCCCCATGGGATTTGTTTTCTTTAGGATACTTAAATCGGTTTTCCTTTTTTCTTCTTCTTTCCTTTGTTTGAGTTTTGTATCTCTCTTTTATGATCCGTAGCTAGTATGCGCAAACTCTTGCCCAAATGCAGTATACCTGAGCTCATTTTAATATTGCCTTCTATTTATTATTATAATGGGACAGATTGGGAAGGCGGGAATTCTTATTTTGTTCTCCTGGAAACAGTTGCAAGGCCACATTGAGTTAAATTTGCTTAATATCCTTTCAATGGAACTGAGAATCTTGAAAGCTTTTATAATGTCACTTGTGGAAAATTTAAAAAGTGGCATTAATTCCTGTGAACTTCTAAATTCTCTTGGTATCTCCTGATCTTTTGTTGTTTTTCTTGTGCAGACAGAGGTTGAAAACCTTACTATGAAGGAGGGCCAGTTAGATGAGCAAATAAGGTTTTGGTGCCATGCCTTTGCTGATACTGCTTTATTGTGTTGCTTCTTTGCCATCTGTTTAACAAGCCTGAGTTTGTAATTACTGTAGGGAGATGCAAGAAAGACTGAGGAAACTTAGTGAAGATGAAAACAATCAGAAGTAAGTTCCATCTAACCTTTACCCAGAGTTAGGTCATTTCTACCACAATTTGAGGTTTATATTATTTGACAAATTTCTTAATGGTTTTCCACCATATAGGTGGCTTTTTCTCACGGAAGATGATATAAAAGGGTTTGCCCTGCTTCCTGGTCAGTTTGTCATCTTTGCTCATTAAAGATTATGTTTTGTATGATGATGCTTTGTTTCTTTTTTTTTTTTTAAATAAATGTTACTAAATATTTGGCGGTTAACTTAAGACATTCCATTTTTGTCAGAATGAAACCTTAATAGCCATTAAAGCTCCCCATGGCACCACTCTTGAGGTCCCTGATCCAGATGAGGTAAATTTCAGACCGTACTAAATTTGTGTTGAAGTAATTAATTTCACGCGCATCTTTCGCAATGAAACTTCTCCATGTTCTTTCAGGCTGTTGATTATCCCCACAGGAGATACAGGATAATCCTCAGAAGCACAATGGGCCCAATAGATGTTTACCTTGTTAGGTATGCTTATTGTTTTGGCCGTTAATAATCATTTAACTCACTTATGTTTGTTACGATGGCAAATGCCAGTGGAACAAAGAGATTCCAAATTCTTTGTAGTCTATAAATGGACTGAATATTAGTGTTATTAGAATGAGATAGGTAAAAAGAAAAAATTGGTGAAAAGAGAAAAGGTGGACTTCATGCACATTGACCTATTTGGATCACTCTTTCTGTTGCTGCACAAGTGGACGATCTAAAGTCAGAACAACAACGACACTTAGTGATCGGGGAAAATGATAAAGCAAAGTAACATGGACCTTTGGTACAGCAATTAACTTGGATGCAACATAAACGATGCATAAATAAGTGGTCTCCTCCACTACCAGTGTATCCCGTGGCATATGATTACATCCATGAATATTTTCAGTACTAACTTTCGTGTTCAATAACAAATGTATTGGAGAATTGCAATATTGAAATCGCTGATCTTTCCTTCTCTGTATGCCATTTCAGTCAATTTGAGGAAAAATTTGAGGAGATCAATGGAGTCGATGTACCACCCAATCTTCCATCCAGTCCAGAGTTGAACAGGCATCCGGCAACAGTGATCACTGAGGATGCAAGGAATGACAAAGAAATGCAGGAACAAGACGGTCATAGACCTGGTTCTGATTTGAGTGCCTCACAGGACTTCGTTAGTGGGATCATGAAGATTGTTCCGTCAGATGTTGATGTAAGTATGACCTTAGTTGGTGACCTTTATTTTCTCGAGTCCTATGGATTTGCGAAGAACAGTTCAAGGACTTGTTGTAGGTGCATGATCTTATAATACCCAAAACTCAAATCGATTGTGGCATGAAGATCTTTGTACTATTTCATCTTCAAAAGTGTAATCGTAATTCTTAGTTCTCATTGAGGGCATTTTTTCGCAGAGTGATGCTGATTATTGGCTTCTATCAAATGCTGATGTTAGCATAACAGACATGTGGGAACAGAATGTATCCTCTTTCTGTCCTAGTCTTCATTGCACTATATGCTAGAACGGATAGGTTTAGCAATTTTTTCCCCTTCGAATTTTAGATCAAAGGTTCTTATCTTCAATGTTTTTGGAAAATTCCTTGATGTATCTACAGCTGGAATTGAATGGAACGAACTGGACGCACTTAATGAAGATTATTGCATGCCTCAGGAGAGCGCAGCACGACCTGAGACGCCTCCAAACATGAGTCAACTGCCTTCGACGGCTAACCTGAAGGAGGCTGAAGCTTCAAAAGCATGTATTATGTATCTAATCGAAGTCAAGAGCTCTTTCATTACTAGGAATCTATGACATCCAGACGACCCCTTTGTGTCCTCTTCACCACACCGCATGAGACTGGATCGAAGATTCGATGAAGGTGTTTTCTTAATGTTTTTGGTGAAGAAGCTGGTGCAAGGAACAAAGAGTGGAGCGCTCCAGACGGCAGATTCATTGTACAGCTAATTTACATAATTCAAGTGATCTCGTGGTTTTAGAAAACATCTAGGAGTTTACTGAATCCATCCTTGTATATTACTCTAATTCTTGGCTTTAGTGCAACTAGCTCGTTGTGCCCTCGAGATGTTTGCCAAGCAATAAAATTGCCCTTCACGGAGACAGTTTGAGGCAATTATGTTCTCATGCAATGTTGTAAAGAAACCGAGCAATTGTTCATGTAATGGGATGAGACCTTTCACCTGGGATTTTTTTTTTTTTTTAAATTTTTGTTTCCCTATTGCTGTTAATGTTCTTTTCCTTCTCATATTTATTACTCGCCCTTTCTCATTCTTGCACAACGAGTCACCCACGGGATCAGGAATCCTAGGGAGCTATGTCAATCAATTCTAGCAAGGGAGGGGGAGAATCAAAAGTTCAATATTTCCTGTATCATTACTTCTGCTTTCTGCATTTACATATAAATGCCACAACGATGGAGCCTGCAGCTGGTTGATTTAGAGTACAACTATTTAAAATTATTTTCATTACTTTGTTTAAGCGTGTAAAGACGAACGTTCACATGAGAACATAAATAAAAGAAGCATATGATAGAAACAAAACAAGGTTGGATCTCAGAGCTCCTATACGAACTACTTATCCTTGTCTACTTCTTTCCAATCCAACCAGCAACAATAGGTGTAAGAGCCACTGTTGGAGGAAAACCTAATAGGAGATGCAGCCTTGTGCGCAGCATATGCCCAAGCAAAGGTTCCAACTCGCTCCCCTGTCTCATCAATTGAGATTCCCACCTAAGAAAAGACAGTTACATTATTAAATCTGTGGAAACTCAAACTTAACATTGTTTAGATTGCAATCCACGTAAGGTTCAACGTTGTACCTTATGTAACAGCGCTTGGACATCAATGCCCGCACTGATTAGTGCATAGCACAGAGCGAATGAGATCAGAGACAGAGTGATAGAGGTGGCCAGATAAGCTCCTCCATATTTTGCTAACAACTCCTTGGCTTCGTCGCCCTTTGATTTCTTCCTTTCGGGATCACCATTTCCTTCGTCTTTTGAGCTGAAAATCTGCACAAGCGACCATAATTTCTTTCAAGAAAAAGTTTACTCAACATGCCTTCGAAGTATAGCCTGAAATTTCACTCTGACCTCATCGATTAGTGAGTTTTTCATTTTACCTTAAAAGGCAAAAAAAACAAACCATCAATTAAGGACAAATTCTCTAGTAACCGTGACTTGAAAAATCAGCAAATGGCTGAGCGTGTATCGCATAATAGGATTTCTATACTAATTAATTCTGCAAATAAACTAGGATAAAGCTGCATCAAGGAAGCAATGCGAATTCAATTGAACAAGCAAGCAAAACTAGTTATTTTGCTACTTCTGATGTTTGTGTACGTGAAGTTCAGGTT